AATGTCACTGATCTCTTCTGAGTGTTCAACAAATAAAGTTTAGAGATCAGAACTAAAAATATAACTAGGCTAACAGGACAGCCAATATTTTGGACCTGGCCCTCCAATTTCAACAAGAACCCAGGATATGAGGGAACCTTTCTACAAGATCTTAAAATTTTGGTGAGTTACTCAAAGCCCAGAGTGGGGAGATTGCTGGACCCCAGAGGACAAGAATTAGTAAGTGTACAATGTGCCAAAGTAGGGTCACCAAAAGGGAAAAGTCTCCGATGCTTTCATACAAAGCAACATGATCACGCAAGGCTGTAACCCATCCTGATGCCTGACACTGACAGATGAGCTGAGAGGCTCTGTTCATGGTGCCAAAATAATGCCTGAAGAGACTTCACTCGTCTTGATAGACAGTAGGAGGCAAATATTGATTAACACAGACCTCATTTTAATTTGATCTTAAACATCCAGCACAAAAGTACAACCAAAAAATGTATATAGGCAATACCATAGTAATAAGAGTTAGATATAAAAAGGGGCTCCAATCACTGACCCCTCTTCTGGCAGCTTCCCAATACATCAATAGCTTTATGCTACGCTTCTTTAAGACATAAAAAAAAAACTACAGTTGAATCTCTAAAAGCACAATAAGTGTCTCTAAATTCTTTCTCTCCATCTTCTTATAGCTAAACTAGAAGGACTGCCATCAGTAGAGGGGTCTAAGAGCCAACTGGGTACAATTGCTGTACTAGTGCCTTAGGAAAAGTTTCTGGATGTGACTCATTCCCCAACCTGCCGTTCCATTCCTGTGCTTATGGTTCAATTATACATGCCCTTATTTCTTGCAAAATTTGTTTATTCTTGCCTAGAGACTGCCAAACTCCAAATGATCAGGGAGATGGAACCAATGACAAAGGAGTCAGACTCCTTTCCTGAGATCCACCAGATTCCCCTTGGAAAGAGATCATAGTTGCTAAACTACAACATGAATTCTATAGGATGCACATAATAGTACCTCTCTGGTGTATGTTCCTGAATGTGGCTTCCCCTACACTGACACTTCCCAGCTTGAAGCACCCATATGGAAACTATCCCCTACCTGCAGTTGGGGATATGTCTTCAGAGGGGGCAACACTGCAGAAAGCCAAGCTAATTAGTAATACAGTAGGCAGTCAAACAGGGCTGTGCACTTGAAGAGAGGAGAATGCATGAGGGATGTAGCTGAAGGTGCATCTCAAGATTAAATTCATAATGGCTAGGTTTGTATACTTCCCTAAGTGTTGAATAGAGGTGTTATGGTTCATAAATTTTGTCAACTGGAGGAGTCCAGCAGCTTAACTAAGAAACTCAGCAGTTCTACATCTTGGAGTGAAGAGGACATGCCCTTACCACTCTAGCATTTGTTCATTGTGTCACCTTGAGAATTTTAGAAGGTTAACTAAGTCTCTCGGTTACTTTTCTCTCGTTGCTGAGACAAAATACCTGATGCCCAAAATGAAGGAAGGAAAGGTTTATTTTGCTTACAGTTTGTGGAGGTTTCAGTCCATACTTGGCGGATTACAAG